TAAGCTTTGATCCAAATTCTCACTTCATAAACACAATGTTATATACTAAGTCTATATAGTGCGTGGTAATCTAAAATAGCCAAAATGTGTAATTCTTTAAAGGTACTAAGTGAGGGGAATGGTGTACTAAAAAGAAGACACATTAACATTGTGAAATATTCTATAAACAAACAAAAATCATGACCATCAAGTTGGTTCCAACTCATAGCAACCATATAGAGTTTCCCAGACTTAATTTTTATGGGAGTAGTCAGCCTTCTCTTTCTCCCACAGAATGACTAGTGGTTTGAGCCACTGATCTTTATCGATATCCCATTTCCTAACCCATAATGCCAGCAAGAATCCTGAACTATTCTATAAGTGGTATATATACTACATATTGTAATTATGCAGACTAAAAAAGGTAAGTATTTGATACAGTAAATTGAAAATAGCAAAGTTAGAGTAGTATTCTTTACAGTGATAGTAACAACTGGGTTATTAGGGAAAAAGACAAATATGTGAAAGGAAAAATAGATTTAATTTTTTTGCATAATGTATACATATAAATATATAAGTGATTATCAATTAAGAATCTTGGTATGACATATGCCTATTTGTTGTAATCATTACCACTACCTAGTTTTGAACTCTGTTACCTATGTATTTTCTTTTTTCGCAGTATTATATGTATTACATTAATGAGTTAGAGAAGACTACTCAAAAACAAACTCACTGCCATCAAATTGATTGTGACTCATAGTGATCCTATAGGACAGAGTAGACCTGCCCTTTGGGTTCTAAGACTTTAAATCTTTGGAGGAGTAGATAACCTCACTTTTTTTTCCTGAAAGAAGGCTACTAGATTTATTTAGTTTGTGTCAGTTGTGATGTGATGGATATATATATAAATTTTTTTCCCCTCCCTGGTGTGGTTGGGATCTCGTTACAGCCATGTTATGCCAAGAGGGTCAGGAACTGGCGTTTATAGCAATGCTGCACCATCACCTGCAACCTATCAGGGAAACTTATACAGGCCACTCTTGAGAGGACAAGCCCAGATTCCAAAACTTATGTCAAGTAAGTTTTTACTGATTGGCTGTTTTATGTGCTAAATTAAATACTTTGAAACCGTGAGAGCCATGATTCAGCAATACGGACTGTTTTCCCTTTAGATAGGGTGCAGTCTTAGTGCTTTTCTATTGCTCATTCTAGTGGAAAGTTTTTGTCTTTTCTGTCTCTGACATGTTTTATGCCTTGCACACTTCTGACTTTCCCAGGTTTTACTGTATTGGACTGTGCCCATATTGAGGAAACATAAATCCTCATGAAGCCTTTACTTCCTCCGTTTATAGTTGGTTGCTAATGAATCAGACTAGTGCCAGCAACAGGGGCAAGAAACTGTAGAATAATGCTGACATTTATTAAATCTGAAAGTCATACTATTAAAACATTTTTTCCCTAGAATATCTTGAGTACTAAAAAGAAAAGATTTTAAATATATACTATATTGCAGAGAACCCTCAAATTTATTTTTAAACTAAAATTACAGTTATCAAAGGAAATATCAATAAAATGATGATTGTTGGGTGTTATTTAATGAAGACCTATTTGTATATGTAGCTTATTAATTAAGTTATAAACCATTTTTAAGCTGATGACCAGATTTTCTGAGTGTGATTTTAAAAAAGAAGAAATTAACTCTGCCGAATTAAAGAAAAACAAGTAACAAACAGGTTTCCTGGTCAAATAGACTGATAGAAACCTTGAGACTATGGCCCTGATTTATCCTATCAGGCTTGGACATGAACTCATTCCTGTGGTTCCGTTTTCAATCGAATAATATGCAGGCTTATAAGGGGAACAAGAACACTAGTGAGGCACACCATTTGAGATCAAGGGGGTGTCATTTACCCATGGACAAAAGTTCAGAAGGGTTATGAAAGAAAAAAAATGGAAACAGGAAAACACAGGAAGGTGGAATAAAGAATGGTACATTGTGAGGATTGCAATCATTTACTGTGTATCGAAATGTACATTAATTGATGAATGGAAAACTGATCTGCTCTGTAGATGTTTACCCAATTCACAATTAAAAAAAAA